GTCCAAGTCTCGCATATAATTGTTTATTACTTACAATAATCGATTATCATTGGCAGTTGTAATGCGTCTTTTCATCTTCAGACCAATAGATTATAAATCTCTCTGCCAAAACCTTTCGAAGACAACTTTGAATAACTGAGAATACAATGCTATTTGAGGAAGTTCTCAAGGGCCAGTTCATTGCTTTGTCAAGTCTTGTGAACAGGAGAAGCTCGCGCTTTGTGTGTTAAAGGTCAGAGCGGTTCTCTTCAAGTTGGCAGAGTTGTTTCCTTCCGGTTCGTTCGTCGAAGGAAGGTGCTTTTGTTACTGTTATTTTAAATCACTATATTGTAAATTGTAAAACTGCTTTTAGTGAAAAGGTTAAGCACTATTCATAGTGATTAACGACTAGACATAGAATCTTTTGATTCGAATCAGGATAAAAATCATTTGTGATTTTTCTACTCCCTACACTCCTTATATTTTCTGCTCATCAATTGTTTGATAAAAAGCTTTTAAGAAAATTAAAGGAATCATTTTTAAAGTGACCAAACAAGCTCTTTGCTTTTAACAATCTGTATCGAATTTTGTTTAATATTTTCGCTGTGCAATATCGGTACCGATTGTTTCAACAATTTGTGTGTGCCTTATATCAACCGAAGAAAGGCAATGAGATGATAAATCTAGCCTTGGTGATAGTGAGTCGGTGCATAGTTTTTAATACCATTTCTTATCAATGAATGCAGTATGTTTCTGTAAATCTGAGTTCATTTAAATGTGTTGATGTGTGTTCAAAGTTGTCTAGATCTTGTTGATGTTGTGTAAGCTTAGGCATACCAAATGAGCAATGAAATGCCTTGGTATAGCTCGGTTGCTAAACCAGAAACACACATCACTGTCTAATTCATTTTGTGAGCTTTTCACCATGCTCAATTCTTTGCAATTTCCAATTTGAGTGTCACTCATATTTAGCCTTAGATCAGGGCTGACTTTAGTGTAAAATCACTTTCCAAAAGTTGTTTCCAAAGCTGTCTAGTCATTTTAATTCTGAAATTGCAGAGTTGGTGATTTAGTTAAGTCATTTGGCAAATTGAGAGAGTTTAGCCTAACTAACTTGCTAATTGCTTCTTGTGCAGATTGCTTAAGCTGGAGTGCAATCAAGATAACAAAAGAGAAAAATGCTACTACATTTACTTTAGCTTTTAAAAATTGTTTAGTGCTACTGTATTCACTTTCAATTTTTAAATTTGTTTGTTGATTTATGTGCAGATGTCAGTTTGTCTAGTTTGATTGTTGTATATTCTTGATTGCCATTTAGTTCCATCCTAATTAGACTGCCATATCTCATTCAAAGTGACTAAAGCACTACATTTCCAATTCTGATTGCATGATTGTATCACATTGTTCTTGTTCATTGGATAGACCAGTTTAGTCCATCAATTTTGACTAGCTTGGATTGATACCAATTCAATTCTTGTTTTGAATCATATCAAATTTCAAGCTGGTTAACTATTCATTTTCATGTGTATTTGTTGGGTTGTGGTGTGACTTAGATGTGGTGTGACTTAGATGTGCAGAGCTGAATTGAGTGAATCATTCGTTTGAACAGAAGATTACTGAAGCAGAAACACCTCACATGGGAGATTAGAAAATTAAGAGAGTGTTTGTTTAAACTATTTTTGTTATGCAATTTGTTGGATTATGTGAATTATTGAATCTAGTGTGAATATTTGTGCAGATTTGGGGTTGATGAGAATTGGAAAACTTGTGCAGCAGGTTACAATTGAGAGCAATCAGGCACCAATTGAACAATAAAATCGAGAAAGGGAAGTTCTTATTTCCCTATATCTTTTTGTGCAATCTGTTTTAGCTATAAGGGAATATTGATCGAAGCTTTGCTCATATGTCTTGTAGGATTGGACAAAATATAGAAGCTTGAAGTTGTCAAGAAGCAATAGTGGAGGCATGTGAATACTTCACTAGAAGTCGATTTGGACTGTGGCCGTAACTGAACCAGTACCAGACCGTAGCATAATATTGATTGGGTTATTTTGTTTTTTTTGTGTAATTTTGATTTGTAATAGGCTTGTATTAGCCTACTGTAGTTTAAGCTTTATTTTGGCAACAAGTATCTTATGTAAAAGACTACAAACATATTATGCAATATCATTTGATATTTCCTTTTCAACTGTCATTTTCTAGTAGAAATATCAGTGGTTAGTTTGACTTGATCTCATGAAAAATTTCATAATCTAAACTAGTGGAATGAAACTAAGGCCTTTGCCCTTTGGTAATTACCGAAGGGCAAAGGTCGTTAGTAATGGATAGCGACAAACGATTTACCGACGAAAAACTGACCGTCGTTAATCCGTCGATAATAGACATTACTGACGACTTTTTGCTGTTTTCGACGGGCCCGGACCATCGATAATGCCCTTTTTTTGGTAGTATTATGCCCTTTTAGTGCTAAATCTTTGAGGAAACATTTTAGGAAGGTCTTCTTATCTCTCAACGTCTTTTTGTCCTTTGTGCAACGCTTATGAATAAAGCTTATTGTTGACATTACTTGCACGTATAACAAGAACAAAACATGCAAGTAAGGAATTACTTTTTTTGTACAACATTAAATGTTTTAAACATTGATGATCATTAAGCATGTTGCATGTTTAAAACATTTTAGCACATGTCAGCATCATTTGATAAAAGCATCATTTGAAGGTAAAGCGTTTCATGTGTTATACTTAGATGATATGATATTTTAAACGCTTCCTTTATAGGGTTGTCTAAGCTTGAATACATCATTTAGTTATGTTTAGCAAAGCCTGGCGCTCATACGCTTTATCATTTTGTTTAAGCGCTATGGTGATTAGACACTCTATTATAAGCATTTTTTTATGTCTTATGCCTTGGATATGTTTGAGATATCAGATAATTCGTCTTGTAATATGCATAATGGCTCAACGCATTTAGTTATTGAATCTTAAGTATTACCGTTTAACCTAGCGTTCACATGTACTATGTCTCCATCATATCATAAGTACACCATTTGTGTTTAGACAAATTTGAACATTATATTCTTATAAATGTTTATCTTGTTCAATACTCTAGATAGATTGTTATATCTCATAAACACATGTTTCATCCAATATTTTCCTTTAGCTTATGCCATCGTTAGATGTTTCATTCTATAATCAATATTTCATTGAGTATTATTTGTTAAACTTCAAAGTTCGAGTTGCTAGACAGTCTAGTTTCTCTAAACGATATTGTCTTAACACTATCCGTACATGCATTTATTACGTTAGACGTTATTAAGTGTTTAGGCAAGGTACATGTACTTAACGTTTAAATAGGTTCTGCTTTTAGAGTCACGTTGAATGTTTTAGATAGAGTTTATATGATTAAAGTGTTTAACATGTTTATCCTAGGTAATTCCATTTATTAGATGTTATTTCGTTAAACACTTTTTGTTAAACTTTAAAAATAGGTTGCTATAAAAAGGTTTATGTTTAATTATTTGGTATAATACCTATTTTGGTCCTAATCTTGGTTGGGAAAATTCGAAATGGTCCCAATTTTTTTTGTTGTTTAATGTAGTCCCAAAGAATATAATTTGTGTTCAATTTGGTCCTTTTAGCAAACACCGTCTAAATCGTTAACGACGAGATGTCCACATGTGCAATTACAGAGTGAAATTGGCTTACATGGAGTCCTTTGTGGCGTTGTCAGTTGGATTTATTATTTTTCAAATTCTATTTTATGAAACCCTTTACAGAGGTGAAATGAGGGTGGATTCTCAAATTAGGGTTTTTGCTTTTGTTCTTTGAAAGCCATAGTGACGTTAGATGTTAACCAATCTTCTTCCCAATCTTGGTGGTTAATGAGCCATGTTTGCTTCCCAATCTTCTTCTTCTTGTAATAGCTTGGGGCACTGAAGTTGTCCTTGTTCACATGGTGGTGGTTCAATGGGGTTAGGGATAATTCCCATTTGCAATTGTGGTGAGATGTCAGTAGTAAAAATGGCTAGAACTTCAAAGAATGCGGGAAGATATTTTTGGGGTTGTTGACACTACAAGGTAATCAGAATAACCCCTATGTTGTTTATGTGATAATAATTAACATTGTGTTTGAAGTTTTTGTTATGAATAACACAATGGAGCTAGTAATGCGATGTGTTGCAACTATTTTAAGTGGTGCAATGAAGAAAATGTTGATGAAAAGGATGCTATTATTGGGAGGCAAAGGAGGAAGATTTTTGATCTGGAAAACACAGTCAAAGCTTTGAAGAAAAGGATCCAATTATTAGTAGCAGTGGTTGGTGTTGTTAGTGTAGTGAACATAGTTATGTTCTGTGTGTTTTTAGGATGATGTGTTGTGTGTATTTTGGTTCAACTTATGATGTGTTTTAGGTGGTCGCAATCTGGTTGAATGCAGTGTTTTTAGGTCAATGGAGATGAACTGTTGTGATATTGAGGTTCTGCCTATGTCTTTTGTAATGAATGATGAAATGAAATTTGTGTTAGTAATTAATTGTTCAATTTAGTCCCCATTTCCATTAATTATTTGCGAATATGGTCCCTATGATGATGACTGATGTGTCCATAAAGCAATAAACAACAATATCTTTGCAATTGTATAAAGCATAAAAACGATATGTTTGCATAAACAGAACTGAGGTCATGGTTACATGTAAGGATTTAAACTCCAATGTACATCAAAACATATCAAGTGCCACTTCCAAATGTTTAGCACACAAGTAACCAATTGGAACAAAAGAAAAGTACAACAACATTATAACATTATAAAGCACATGGTCTTCTAATTGATAATTTGTCCCTTCTTCTTTTCTGAGTTTGTTCTTCTCTGGATTCCTGTATTGGTTGTGGAGGTGCTTTAGATTGTTGTGTCATTTCCTCAATTGTTCTTCTCTGGATTCATGTTGAGGACGTAATGGGAAATTATTTTTGTTATGTCCAAGTTGACGCCAAATACTACATTTTTTTTGCGGTGGCCACCGTTGGTCATTGGGTCTCATCCCTCCTTAGCTCCCATTGCTCCAACCTTCTTTTTTTCTTTGATCTGCCAAGTAATATTCTCTTCAATGGTGGGAGAACGTTTGGGTAGGATTTTCTTTCCCATAACAGGTGGTCATTCACAGGAAATATGATGGAGGCATATGTTTCATCGTACGTGGACTGTTTGAAGGAAATGGGTACATAATCTTCTGGATCAAAATTTAAGAACTTCATGGCTGCAGTTACATGGCAGCAAGGAATCCCAATAATAAGCCATTTCCTGCATGAACATTCTTGATTGTCCAGGTTAACTACAAACTTGTTTGTAATCTGTGCAAAATGCCTAACTTCATAGAGTTTTTCTGCAGACCAACTACCATGAAGTAATAGATGAATACAAGTTAAAAATTAAGTGATCAATACGGCCATTTTAATCACAAACCAAGTGCCATCACGTAATAGAGGGAAAGAAAAAGCATACCTAGGGATCCAATTTTTGGATAAATTTGACTCCTTTGTAAGTCTCTTTCTAATCTTGGGACAGATATCAAAGTCCATATTACACATCTTAATTCTGTTGGTTGCCCATCTTTTCATGAGATATACTTTAATTTCTTCAAGCATGGTTATAATTGGCTTTCCTCGTGCATCAACAATCACACTATTAAAACATTCACTCATGTTATTGGTTAGTGTATCACAAAGTGCTCTACCTGTAAATCAAGATATAGACCAAAACCTATTACAAGGAATAAAAATGATGTTTATATCCACTCTACATGTCATCAATGTATTGATAAGGACCAAAGAATACCTTAGCGAGATAGCAATTAGGTATTTGTAAGCCTCTTGATTGACTTCCTTTATATTTAACATTTCTCTTTCCAAAGCTTGGGGGTATGTATTAGTAGCATCCTTCCACATCAGATTCTTCAAGTTTTGTCCTGAAAACTTTTTCCTGAAATTTGCATATAAGTGTCGCATGCAAAATCTGTGCTCTGCCCTAGGTAACAGTTCATATATAGCTGGTAATAAACCCTGTAAAAAAAGGACCAAATTGAACATTTTAAACAAAAACCAGGACCAATTTAGATATGACTAACACAATTAATATTAGGAAACAAAAATAGAGACAGATCATAAATACATTTACCTTTTGTTGATCAGACATAAAAGTGCATGAATTGTAGACTTCAGCACCCCTAAGGTCTTCTATCAACAACTCCAAAAACCATGTCCAATTATCTTTATTCTTTACTTCCATTATTGCATATGCCAGAGGTAACATTTGGTCATTAGGATCTCTACCAATAGTTGTTAATAACTCCCCCTTATACTTTCTTTTCAAAAAACATTCATCCAAACCAATAAATGGCCTACAAGCAGGGGTGGGCAAAGTATACTGCACTGCATTATACTATAAAAATTTGCAGTTAACTATAAAACAGTTCTCCTAAACTAAACTGAACTAAAAGTAGTTCGGGTGAACTGAACTATACTGGTTTTTAGTCCACTCATAGTACAGTGTAGTTCAGTAAACTAATTTTTAGTTTCATTCATTCTATCATTCCTACTTCGTCCATTCTACTTCTTTCTTACCTACCAAATCGACTTTTATATATCTTTGTTTCCTAGAACATAATTGTGTTAGTGTGCATAAATATCTAATCCTTGGATGCTGAGCTTTTCAAGTAAACGTTGAACAGGATGATTAGGACGAGATGGATTTACAAGAAATGAAAGAAGCAAGAAAAGCTTATATGGCTATTGTTGCTATTACCAAGGAAAGACAAGACGAGGAATCTATTGGCAAGAAAAGCATATTATTAGTGTTCAATATCTATTATCACTTGCTACCATTGCCTCCAATAACCTATCACTTTCAACGTAAAAGTATTAAGATTGATATGGACAAACAGAAAACTCAGATAGTTAAAAAGACATATTTTACCTTTATGTTATAAACTTGGATAAGAAACATAGAAATAAAAGAATGGAAGAATACAAAGACGAAAGAAGATAGTACTATAAAAGTTGTAATAGAAAAAATATTATAAAGCAATGAAATTATGCAACAGAAGATATGATAAATGATTAGATCCGAGAAAGCAAGAACTTTAGCAATGATTAAGGGAAGAGTGCCTTGTATTTGATCAAGTTGAATGGTGTGTGAGATTTGCTCGAACACCTGTGGCTTCAAGGGTTTTCAATTTGGGGATGAAATTCTCAATTAGGGAGAAACTGTGGTTCACAGTTAACTGCACTTAAATTGTGTAAAGTTCAGTTTGTTTTAACTGAACTGTAGAATAGCTTAATTAGTTTTAGTTAAAATAAGTTTAGTTTTTTTTAAGTATAATATAATTCAGTTAATTGTAGTTCCAATACAGTTTGGTGAATTATGTCCAGCCCTACCTACAAGAGAGGAAGCTAACAATGCAAGCATTCAAACAAACATAGAACCTCTAAAATGTTGTTTCACCATTGTCAGTATCCACTTTAACTTTTACTGTTGATCCAGGGTTACATCTCAATAATTCATGTGCATAGTCATATATTCTTTTGAACTGATTTTTATAACTACCTTCAACTTTGTAAGATGCAATTATCTTTTCCCTATTTGCTTTAGAAATTGTGACATTGGTATTCCATTTCCTCAAAGCTTTTGAGCGTATTTCATTTATCTTCAAATTCGGATTTTCATGTAGTGAATTATCTAATGTCTCACTCAACCACTTAACATTCATCATTTTTATGTTGAATTGCCTACTGCAAGCATGATTATCCAAAAAATTTCTCAATTTCCATGTCCTACATCCTTCCAAATAGCCACAATAAGCCATCCATGGACAACTTTTTTGGGCACCCAAACATCTCACTCATACCCTTTTGTTATCATTCTTAATAAACTTCAAATTCCTTCCACCATGGACTGCTAACTTCTAACAGCATCCATAAACTCATTTTTATCCCTAAACTTTGTTCCCACTTCCCACTTGTATTCAGACATACTCTTTTGCATAACAAATGTCCCAAATGGACCACAACTTTGTCTTTCATCACCTACATCCTCACTTCCACTTTCTTTTGGAGTGGCCAAAAAATCAGACTCCCACTCATCATCAGACAACCCCTGTCATATGGGTTTTTCTGGCTACGTGCAATATCATCTGCATCCTCACTTTCACTTTCTTCATTTTCATTAACTTCCACTTATACAACCCCTTCTATATCGTCCAAAAGTACTTCATCAACATTTACATCAACATCCAATAGTCCTTCATCCCCTTCTCCTTCATCACTATCCAGTAGTCCTTCATCCCCTTCTCCTTCATCACTACCCCCTTGTCCTTCATCATCAAACACACTTGAACTAAAATCTTCAACGTGAACTTCTTCCTCCACATGCACGTGTTGTCCATCCTCCACCTCTACTTCCTCCTCCTCCCTCTGCACTTCATCATCCAAACCATGCACCTCTACTTCATTCAAACCATCCACTTCATCTAAACCCTGCCTCTCCACTTCATTCAGCACCTCCACTTCATCCAAACCCTACTCCTCTACTTCATTCAAACCCTCCACTTCATCCAAACCCTGAACCTCCACTTCATTCAAACCCTGCACCTCCACTTCATCCTCATCCCCCACCTACATGACTATCTTCTCCACTATCTAAACTTCCATGACAGAGCAAAATAACTCGTTCAATTACTTCATTTTCAAGCACCTCTGGCTCATCCTCCACACCGTGGACAACAAACAAGTTAACTTCTCCAAAATACTTAGCAACGTTTACCATGTTCATTGCACCTTTATCATCAACCAACTTATGCAGAATATTTTGAACGCAATAAAATATGTCAGTCACTTTAATATACCCCAATTCCTTAATAGCATCTACCATTTTGAAATAACTCCATTTGTCAGGGTCGATACTCCAATATGTCATTTCCCCACCAACATATTCAAAAGGAAAATTATTTACTAGGGTCCCACCATGGTGGACCACAACATTAAACTTCTCCTCAGACATCCCAAACGCAAGCCTACAAAATGAACTTTATGGGCATGGGACCACTATATAAACGCTAAAAGTAACTACTAACAGGTATGGGAAACCAAAACCAAAGACAAAAAAGCGACAATGACCTTCACACAACCAATTATAATACGTTACACATCAATGCCCTAAACAGTTTACACAAATGTTAAAAAAATTCTAACTTTTCCAAAATCTAACACTCACAAACCAAAAATTTTCCTGCTTTCACACTATTGAACAAAACTATTAGATATGAATGCTACAAAGCAAAGATTAAGAACGCAAACCTGATTTTTCCAAAGATAAATGCTTCCAATTCGAACAACTCGTCACTGGTGTTCTCTTCCAAACCTGTTCTTCCCAATCTCGCAGATTTCCCTCCCAAACCACGATCAAAACTTTACAACTAAATACCTTTAATTTAATTTCAAAAGAATAACCCTAATAAAAGAAATAGAATTTGAAAAATAATAAATCCAACTAACAACGCCACAAAGGACTCCACGTAAGCCAATTTCACTCTGTAATGCACATGTGGACATCTCGCCATTAACGATTTAGACGGTGTTTCCTAAAAGGACCAAATTGAACACAAATTACATTCTTTGGGACTACATTAAACAGAAAAAAAAAATTGTGACAATTTTGACATTATTGATTAGAGATTTCTCATTTCCATCTTAAGAGCATATATATATGGTTATAACTTTTGATAAATTATGTTTGGTTTATGAATAGAGCGATTTAGAATTAAAATCAATAATAAAAATAAATTATTCTTACTTGTTTAAGCTTTATTGTGAATTCATCAAAGAAGACATGAATTTCTCTAATATCTTAGTGCTAGAAAATTGGTTTTGTGGTGAATTACATTACTTCTTCTATATGAACAAATAATCAATAAAATATCTTATTAATCATTTGGTAAGAGAAAATTTATTAATTTGTAATCTAGCAAGTATGCACGATATGCTCAGAGCAAAAGTTTATTTGATTGTAAGTCAAACTATACAAATTAATATATAAATATTATTTAATTTTTTTAAAATTATTACTTAATTATTTATAAATTAATTTTATTTTATCTAATAAAATAATTATTATTAATTTAATTTATGTATTATTATTTAAATAATAATTAAAATATTTTTTATGAATATATTAAAACAGATGTGCCACGTCCGTTAACGGATGTGATCCGTTGAATTTTTTTTTTTAGTTTTTAGTTTTTTAAATTTTTGTATTTTAAATTAATATATAAATATTATTTAATTATTTTAAAATTATTACTTAATTATTTATAAATTTATTTTATTTTATTTAATAAAATAAGTATTATTATTTTTAATTTATGTATTATTATTTAGATAATAATTAAAATTTTTGTTATAAATCTACTAAACGGATGTGTCAATCCATTAACGGCTGTCTACGTCCGAGTGACATCCGTTGAATTAGTTTTTTTTTAGTTTTTAGTTTATA